TTACCCCCTTTCCCAATCTGCCCTCCTCTCTATCATCCCCCTACTCTCTTGTCCCCTTCGGCCCCCTATTTTCCTGTAGGTTAAGACAGATTTCCATACCTCATTGAGTGTGTATGTTATTCCCTCCTTAAGTCAAAATCTATGAGAATAAGATTCACTCATTCCCTCTCACCTTCCCCCATTTCCCCTCCACTGTAAGAGCCTTTTCTGTTTTTTTTGTGAGATAATTTACCCCATTCTATCTCTCCCTTTCTCTCTCCTAGTATAATCCTCTCTCACCCCTTAATTTTATTCTCCAGATATGACCCCTTCATCTTCAATTCACCCTGTGCCCTCTATCTATCTATCTATCTATCTATCTATCTATCTATCTATCTATATATATATATACACACACACACACACACACACACACACACACACACACACATGTAATTTTTTCCCTAACTCCCCTACAAAGGTCTCATGAGTTACAAATATCATCTTTTGATGCAGGAATGTAAACAGTTCAACCTTAATAAGTCTCTTATGATTTTCTCTTTCCTGTTTACCTCTTCATGTTCCACTTGAGTCTTGTATTCTATTTAGTTCTGGTCTTTTCATCAAGAATGCTTGAAAGTCCTCTATTTCACTGAATAACCATTTTTTCCCCTGAAGAATTATACTCAGTTTTGCTGGGTAGGTGATTCTTGGTTGTAATCCTACCTTCTTTGCCCTCTGGAACATTATATTCCATGCCCTGTGGTCCCCTAATGTAGCAGCTGAATCTTGTGTTATCCTGATTGTGTTTCCACAATACTCGAATTGTTTCTTTCTGGCTGCTTATAACATTTTCTCTTTGGCCTGGGAACTCTGGAATTTGGCTACAATATTCCTAGGAGTTTTCCTTTGGGGATCTCTTTCAGGAGGAGATCACTGGATTCTTTCAATTTCTATTTTGCCCTCTGGTTCTAAACTATCAGGGCAGTTTTCCTTGATCATTTCTTGAAAGATGATGTCTAGGCTCTTCTTTTGATCATGGCTTTCAGATAGCCCAATAATTTTTAAATTCTCTCTCCTGGATCTATTTTCCAGGTCAGTTGTTTTTCCAATGAGATATTTCACATTGTTTTCTAATTTTTCATTCTTTTGGATTTGTTTTACCGTGTCTTGATTTCTCATAAAGTCACTAGCTTCCAATTGCTCTATTCTAATTTTTAAGGAAGTATTTTCTTCAATAATCTTTTAGGCTTCCTTTTCCATTTGTCCAATTTTGCTTTTTAGGACAGCCTTCTTTTCATTGGCTTTTTGGACCTGTTTTGCCATTTGGGTTAGGCTATTTTTTAAGGTGTTATTTTCTTCAGTATTTTTTTGGGTCTCCTTTAGCAAGCTGTTAACTTGCTTTTCATGATTTTCTGGCATCACTCTCATTTCTCTTCCCAGTTTTTCCTCTACTTCTCTTACTTGCTTCTCAAAATCCCTTTTGAGCTTTTCCAAGGACTGGGACTGATTCGTATTTTCCTTGGAGGCTTTGGATGTAGGAGCTTTGGCTTCATTGTCTTCTTCTGGTTGTATGTTTTGATCTTCTTTGTCACCAAAGTAAGATAATATAGTCTGATTCTTTTTGCGCTGCTTGCTCATGATCCCAATAAATTACTTGAGTTTTAAACTCTTTGTTAAGGTAAGAGTCTGCTTCCAATGTGGAGAATGCACTGTCCCAAGCTTCAAGGGTTTGTACAGCTGTTGTCAGAGATACTTTTAGGGACCTGAAAATTTTCAGTTCTTCCAAGATGCTATGATAAGGAGCGAGGTGTTTCCTCTCCACCACCACAACAAACTCCATGCCAGCACTCCTCCTAGCCCCAGGACCGCCCCTCAGAACTGTGACCCAGATTCAAGCATGGGCAAAGCAAGAGATTCCTGCCTCAGCACTGGACAAGAGATCCCTGCAATCCCCCTCTGATCAGCCACTCGATCCCCCCTCAGTCTGTGGGCCAGAAGCTCAGGAAACTGCCGCGGCCCCAAGGGCAGCTGAGACCTAGCTCCTTCTCTCACCACAGTCACAGACTTTTCCCCTTGACCTTCCAAGTTGTCTTTGGCATTCGTGGGTTGAGAAGTCTGGAAACCGCCACAGCTGCCATGATTCAGTCCTTTGAGGCCTGCTCCAGGCTCGCTGCAGACTGTGTGCCCACACCGAACTGCGCTCCTTTTCCTGCCCAGCACGATATGCCTTTCCGATCAACCATCCAGGCTGTCTTGGGCTGGAAATTTGTTTCACTCTGTCTTTTTTGGGGTTCTGCTGCCCAAGCTACTGACTCTTGATGGCTGTAGCTGGATTTAGTGGCAGAAGCTGTTTCCTTGTCCTTGGCTGAACGCCCACTTGCTACTTTCCTTAAGCTTCCCCTCTAAGAGGAGGATGATGGTTTGGTCCCAACTGACTGACTGCTGAGGGAAGCCCCTGATGAAAATCCTTCATCTGCATCATTCAGGTTCATAGACTCCTCTCCTCCATTTACACCCTCAGCACCTTCTCGCCTCCATCAATGACAATGAATTGAAGCAGTTGTAATTGCAGTCTGAGAAATCCTTGGCACTGTGGGTGTGATCTCTACTTTAAGTACTTTCTGACCTTCTTGTGAAGAATCAGGAGCATCAAATGGCAATGAACTCTTCATGGCATTAGCAACCAGTAGTGGTTGAGAAAAAAGTTCTAGTTGAGCTCTGTAAATAATGTCATCCAGTACTTCTTGGCCAAGATCCCACTGTCCATTATATATGGCATAATATACACCTGTCAGAAGCTGCACCATAAATTCTGGATCCAATACTCCTTGGCCACAAGGTTCTTTCCAGTGTTTTTCATTTTGCCATGAAAACCCACTCACACAAAGCCTGGAACCCATGCAGGACAGTGCCTGATAGAAGGCAGGCATATAAACAATAGCTGAGTTGTAGCAGAGCATGAGAAAACTCAGGACCTCAAACCTGTTTTGTGCAGTAAACGTTTCCCTCTGAGGATGAAGATCACTATAAACTATGCTAATGAGGTCATGTTGACACAATGCTCCCTCTGTCAAGGCCATGGATCCAACAATTGAGGGCTCATGATATATTAAAGACTCGGATAAGGAAGGGATTGTGAAAGATAGCACTTTACTGTTTCCATCTTTATCAGCAATTTCCAAATTATAGATCCCTAGTAGCAGTGCTTTTATACAACCATTACTCTGTCTGTCTTGGCTAATAGTAAGTCATAAATAAACCCATATCAATTCTGGTAAGAACTGAAGAGTGAATCTTATGAGCTGAACTTCAGAACTACAATATAGATCAAAAAGCTGGTGACAGACAGGCTCTAGGAGCTCATTATTTGAGTCTTGAATGACTTTATAAAGAGCTGGTACCAGTGTATTTTTTTCCTGTGCAGAGTTGCTGCATAGTTGGTGATCTGAGTTTCAAGTAATGCCTTGAATTCTGATAGCCATTGTTCCACTACACCATGTTCAGATCCCAACATCTTCTTGTACTTTGATTCCTCTTTTATCTCTTGTTGAAGAAGTCAGATCTTTAAAGGAGTTGGTGGTAGAAGAAAGCAGATTTCAAGTGTGGAATACATTTTTTCAAGCTTTAAAATAGTCTCTCAGTCTTCTACTGTTGATACCCAAAACTCAAGCATCTCTTCTTTCCTGTCTCCACTGCCATCCCCTTCCTCAGTCCTGCCTTTTTCAAACTCCCACTAAAGTGGAAGAAATGGTCCGGCTAACTTAAACTAGGAAAAAGTCAAGAAAGGCACAGCTCAAGAGAGTAGAACAAAGTTCATAAGTGCAAGGTGAAGGTAGCATAAAACCAAAAGGGATATTGAGAGAGACAGAGACAGAAACAGAAACAGAGAGAGAGAGACAGAGAAAGAATTAGCTTGGTACCTCACACAAGCATCACAAAACACTTCCCAAAGCAACTGTATCCAGAATTAACATTCCTGGAAATTAAATATAGGGAATTTTTGAAGGTAAAAAGAATAAGAAAAGGAGTGAAAGGAAAATCCTTCTTATTAAGGGGCTTTGTAAATTACCATCACTGAAATAGATGATGTGCATGGGAGTGGGATGATCGTACAAGAAAGATGAGCTATTCTACTCTTAAATGAACTAAGAAAGGGAAGGACTAAATAAACAAAAGAGAGAATAAAAATACGAGTTAACCCAAGATGTTTAGATAGGTCAGGCTAAGAGGTGGGAGAGGAAGTGATGAGAGATGATGGGATTTAAAACTAGGAAAACAAAATGAATGCATAAACTAAGGACCAATTTCAGAAGAAAAAAAATGTGTATACTGGGCATTGAAAAAGCTGTTGAATGTTATGGAGAAGAGATAATGAAACATAGGTAATTATTTCATTAGATGCTCTAAGAACCATGTAAAGTACCCTGTAAAGTTCCTATTATCTACATGTTATAGAGAAGTCAATTTATGTTTAGGGAATCAAAGCGACAGGTTTAACACCACATAGCTGATAAGTGGGTGATGTAGGACTTCAGTCCTAGATTTCTCCTTCCAAATTTAGCACTCTGGAATCAGAGCCACAAGTTTTCACTGTCATGCTATGCTAACTAGGTGAAGTTAACAATCTTTCAGCAGTAAGAAAAAAAGAGGTGAGACCATCCTTCTGATCTCTGACCTATTACCATCAGATGATCAAATGACATGACCACTCTACATGATGATGGTTAATGATTTCAAGATGATGAAGATGATTCTTGAAAACAAATTTTCTATCATCTTAGAAGGAACAGACTGAATGAATTGAGAGGAGGAACAAACTAAATCATCGATTCTAATAAGATTCATAATGACACTTACTCAGAAACTAGTATGTAAAACAATTTCCTGAGGTTTAGAACATGGCATAAACAATAATAAGGAAAGATCCTGCTTATGGAACCAGTTTCACACACTGAGGACATATATATAAAGTCCCAGAACAGGAAGATTCTCAGATTGCTGGAATTTTTTCTCTCCAACTCAACAAAAGTCATATCCACCAAGACCATGGTCAGCTCCTACTGCTGTACTCCTGCCTGCTGCCAGCCAATATGCTGCAGGACAGTCTGCTGGAGAACAACTTGTTGTAAGCCAACCTGCTGTGAGCCCAGCTGCTGCCAACCTTGCTGTCAGCCATCCTGCTGTGAGTCCAGCTGCTGCCAGCCTACGTGCTGTAGGACAGTTTGCTGCAGAACAACATGTTGCAAGCCAACTTGTTGTGTGCCCAGCTGCTGCCGACCCACTACCTGTGGCTCTAGCTGCGGCACACCTTGCTGCCAGCCAACCTGTTGTAGAACAGTCTGTTGTCAAACAACTTGTTGTAAGCCAACCTGCTGTGAGTCCAGCTGCTGCCAGCCTTCTTGCTGTCAGCCTACTTGCTGTAAAGCAATCTGCTACCAGTCATCCTGCTGCAGGCCCACCTGTTGTGGGTGCAACTACTGCTACCCATCCTGCTGTTGATCAACTTGCTGGACCAAATGTGCAGTAATTCTATTTAGAGCCAATAATCCTTAGACTCCACATTTTTGTTGTCAATCGCTCTCCTACTGGACAAATACAAAAGTATTCCTCTACAATCTTACTGCTGGAAGTCTTGTACACCCTTGGATTTGATGTCATCTATTCCCAGCTAGTGCTATTCCATCTCATTACCTGACAACTACTTTCAGCTGAGTTATCAGCTCCATGTCCCCTGCTGGAATATGACTGTTATGCCCATTTTATTATTACATATGACCAGCCTGACTCTCCTTGTGTCTGACCTTTTTTTTTTTCAAATCACCAAACAGTGACAGACAAGAAGTCACTCTTTTCTTGTCAGTATATCCAGTATATCCAAAGGGTTAATCCCTGAAGTTTTAGTCTTTGTAACCACTTAACTTTGTTTCCTTCTTAATATTTTTTCCATTTTATTGTTCTCATATTTCCTGATTATTCTTTCTACTACATTTAAAGTCCTCTTAGAACCAGCAGGGCTTCCCAGCTGGTCACCTAATAAACTCTTTTTGTTAGCATAATCTCACTTGTCCTTGTCAATTTGTGAAATACAAATGATGGTGGTGGTGGTGATACTATTCATCCATCAATAGATCATCTATGCACTTGGGTTCATTTTCTGGTAAAGGTAATAGGTTTGTATTGATCTCTCTACTCCTTTGGGACCTATAGTGAATATGACAATTGGTTGGGCAATTAGCCATAGTTTAACTTTTCTAATCTTTCAATTTTTTGTGAAAAATCATAGATCCCTACTTCCTAGGGACTATTAATAAGCCACCCTCATCTAGTCATTTAAGCTCCTAATCATAGACAAGAAAAATGCAACTTACACTCTTAAAAAAAAAGGTAATGAATCACAACTACTTGAAAGAGGTTGATCAGCCTTGGAGTCAGGAAAACAAGGGTTCAAATCCTGCTTCATACATTAACTAGTTATATGGCTCTTGGCAAATTGCTTAACTTTTCTGTGGCTAAGTTTCCTCACCTATAAAGTGAGAAGCTTGGACTTACTAACCTCTAATATCTCTCTTGGACTTTAGTCTTTGAATGTGGTGGAGAGATCTTGAAAGAGCAGTTTGGTTTGTTTTATTTTGTTGTTTTTTTTTTACAAAGTTATCAATTTCCTTGATGTAGGGAGCTCCCAAAAAGGAACTTCTTTCACCAATGCAAATCAATACCTTCTTTATAATATGCACTGCAAGAGTAAAGTCCATAGAGTCAGTTTGTGTCAGTATTTGTTAAAAGCCTACTATATGCTAGCCACTGTGCTATATGTCACAAGCACAAAATGAGCCAAAAAATAGTCCCTGTCCTCAAAAAGCTCACAATTTAAGAGGGAGACAACAAACAAATAATTATGTATGAAGCATATAAAATTCAAACAGGAAAAAAAGAGGGAAGGCATTAGAATTAAAAGGAGTTGAGAAAGCTTCCTGTAGAAGATGGTCTTTAGCTGGGACTTAAAGGAAGCCAGGGAAACCAGAAGGTAGAGATGAAGGAGAGCATTGCAGGCAGGGGAAACAGCCAGAGAAAATGCCTGGAATTGGGGCAGTTGGGTGGTGCAGTGGATAGAGCACCAGCCCTGGAGTCAGGAGGACCTGAGTTCAAATCTGACCTCAGACCAAACACTTAACACTTACTAGCTGTGTGACCCTGGGCGAGTCACTTAACCCCAATTGCCTAAAAAAGATGCCTGGAGCTGAGATATGGAGTGTCTTGTTTGTGGAATGGCAAGGAAGCCAGTGTCACTGGAAGGTATAAAAAAAGACTAGAATGCTAGGAGAGAGTTAGAACACTAATGGTTTTGAATGCCAAATGGATGACTTTGTATTTGATCCTGGAAATAATAGGGAGCCACCAAAATTTTTTGAGTGAGGGGAGAGGGAGATGCAGGGGAAGCTGACATGATCTGACCTACACTTTAAGAAAATCACTTCAATGGCTGAATGGAGGATGGATTGTATTGAGGAGAGACTTGAGACAGGAAAACCTACCAGCAGACTATTTCAATAGTCCAGGCAAGAGTTAATGAGGGCCTGCACCACAGTCGCAAGAGTGTCAAAGGAGAGAATGGGGCTTATACAGAGATGTTGCAGAGGTGAAATCAATAGGCCTTGGCAATAACCTGGCTATGTGTGGTAAAAGACATAGAGGAATCCAGGATGACTCTTGGGTTGTAAGTCTAAGGGTCTGGGAGGATGGTGTCACCCTCTGTAGTAACAGGGAAGGTAGGAGGGCAAAGAGTTTAAAGGGAAAGATACTGAATTCAATTTTGAATATATTGGGTTTAAAATTTCTACTGGACATCCAGATGTCTGAAAGGCAATTAAAGATTAGAGGTCAGTAAAGAGATTGGTTTAAGATAGGTTTATTTGAGAATTGTCAGCATAGAGATGATAATTAAAACCATGGAAGCTATAGAGATCCCCTAATGTAATAGAATAGAGGGAGAAGAGAAAAGGACAGAGCCCTGTGGATCATCTACGGTCAGAGAGTATAGTCTAGATGAAGACCCAGCAAAGAAGAATGAGACGAGTGGTCAGATAGGCAGGAGGAAAACCAGCAAAGAGTGGATTCTCAAAAGACTAGAGAGAAGAGAGTCAATGAGGAGGAGGAGGGACCAAGTGTCAAAAGGTTCAGAGAGCAAAGGGAGATTGAAGATTAAGGAAAAGCCATTGGATTTATGTCAGGATCAAAACTTTAAGCTAACTCTTCCTGACTCTGAGGTCACCTTTCTATCCAGTAGCAAAGCTATCAGTAACCAAGGGGAAGTGGGGCACACACAAATAAGAAAACAATGTTCTAAAATATTCAGCACTGGAGATAATTTCAGTCAGCAAAATAAATGTTTCCAAAATAAGCATCCTAGTGAAAGAAAAATCAAAAGAGGAAGGAAATCTCACAGCAAAGAATTAGAATAATGAACCAAAAATTCATCTCAAAATTCAAAAATATTAAATGAATATTTTCCAGATTGAACATTCTAAATGTAATTCCTGTTTCAATTATGAAAAAGTGCTCAAAAGCAAAGAAAAATAGTTAAAGAAATAAAAGAAAAAAGTCCCCAAAACAGGAAAAATATAAAAATCCTTCATGACACCATTTGAGAGAAGTAGAACTTGGAATCATACTATGTGCCAGGGGACTGGAAGGAATAGGGGTTCCAAAAAAAAAATCTAAAAAACTCCACTCATTTTCATCGACCCCTACTATCAGCTCATTTCCTTATTAAAGTTCTCTCTGGCATCATACAGGTAATCTAGATTGTGCATTCTTATGATTGCTAAAATTTAAAGAAATCCTCTCATTAATGCACCATTCCCCCCCAACTCCCATTCAAGCATTCAAGAAGTGAGGTAGTATGTATGATTCTCTGAAATTCTAGGCAAGGCAGCTCTGCACTTGTGTTATTATGCACAAGTCATAGTGAACAAAAGAATCTGATAACTATATTGTTAAAAATATACATAGAAGGAAATTTTATAGAAACATTGAAAAGGAAGAACAGATTTCATATCAACACAATTTATAAAAGATCAACGGTGTTAGAACTCCAATTCACCCTACCTAGATATTTCAAAGTCAATTTTCAAAACTACAATCACTAGGAGATTATTTTAAGGCACTATGAAACATACCACACACCAAAAAGAAGTTAAATACACATCATATATGTCAAAAATAAGAACTGAAAGAAACTTCTACAGACTATAGCAAAAGTTACATCATAGAATTTCACCATCAAATTGATTTCCCATAATTCTTCTTAAGCATGTGTTATTAAGATAAAAAATGGTCATTTAAAAACACATGTAATTTTGATAATACTATGGTAAGAAGTGCCAACAAAAATATTCAAATGTAAAATGAACAAATTCACAAAGCTAAAGCTACATCATCAAACTAATTCATACAATAGGTTTTACATGATTGCACATATATAACCTATATCAAGTTACTTACTATCTTAGGGAGGAAGGAGGGTAGAGAGAAAGGGAGAAAATTTGGAAACCAAAATTTTATAAAAAATGAATGTTAAAAATTATCTTTACATGTAATTGGAAAAAATAAAATATTATCAAAATTTTTAAATAATTCATATAATTCATAAGAGCTTTAAAATTGTGATTAACTAGCCAATATCAAAATCACCATGGGGGATTTTTTTTAATTGTAGCATTGTTTTGATTAACAAATAACCCAGATGGTCTTGAAAGGGATAAAAAGGCAGGAATGAGAGTGAAGGGAAATGGACTGAGCCAAGATGACAAAGTAGGGGCAGGTAACCAGCCAAACTCTCCCAACAACATCCTCCAAATAACATTAAAATAATGCATCAAATTGAATTCTGGAGTGACAGAGCAAACTAAAGGTCCAGGTGAGACATTTTTCCAGACAAGACAACTTAGTAGGCTGGCGGGAGAGATCTGTGACATAGGAGTGGGGACTGTCCCAAAGCACACATGGTAGCAGCACAAATGGTAGGCTTTGGAGATGACCATGAGAGCAAGAGTAGCAACTTCAGGAGCTCTCAACCCAGAAATAGTAAGGGAATTGGACAACTTGCCAGAAAGAGATTACAGGGGATCTGTGATTGGCACTGGGTCCAGGGTTTAATGCTGGTTGGCAACTCTATTGCCCATATGCAGTTCTGGTCTTAATTCTGGAGCAGAAAGGAGCACTTGTGGTCAGCCACAAGGAATCAGGAGCCAGGGTAATAGTTTCATAGCGGAGGGGAGCACTAGCCCTTGTGACAGCTAGAGAGCAGAGGCCCTTGTCACAGTTCCAGAGCAGAAAGGAGTACTAGTACTTGTAGCTGCAGAGAAGCAAAAGTCATTCCTGGGTAAGGACCATAACACAGACCAGAAGAGCAGTGACCACACCTATCCTGAGATCACATTATCTTGGAAGTACCAAAAATGCACAGACCCCCAGAAGTAGTTCTGAAAATAGCAGCACAAAAAAGCCTGAAGCTTGGGACAGTGCCTCCCCACAAACTTTTACTTAAACTTCAAAGTCAAGAAATAGACTGGAGAAAGAAGCAAAAAACAAAAACAAAAAAAAAGAACTTGACCATAGAAATCTACTACAGTTGCAAGGAAGACAAAGAAAAAAACTCAAAAGAATAAAATAATACAAAAACAGACATAAGCAAGCCTCAAAAAAAAACTGCTAACTGGACACAAGTCCAACAAAAATTTCTGGAAAATTT